ATGTCAAAGACAACATACATCGCTATCGAATGTCCCAACATTGACTGCAGCATGAGGAACACATTAACGGTAGAATACAATCTAAAACGTGAAGTAAAAACCGCATGCCCATTCAAGATATTGTGAAAGATTTCCTGAGTAAAAATTTGAAAAAAAAAAGTATAAAATGAAGAAAACAATTGGTGAGAAAATAAAAACATGCGTGCTCGACATGCTCGACATAATAAGGAAAACTGCAGCGCGCTGATGTTTGCGGGGCTACCTAGTCTTCTCTGCATGGAGTCCGTCCTAGGCTTCAGCACACTCATTGGCTCGCATTGGAAAGAGATACTGGTCCCATCCCAACCATTCAATAATTTATTTCAGTGACGAAAGACCAAAAAGACTTCGATATCTGACTTCACCCAACTAGAAGACAAAAAAGGCTCCACAAGCAAAATTTGTAAGCATCTCATGGTAACAATGAAATGATAAAACGAAATAACCCGAAGTAACTTCCTGCCATTGGCAATTCGAATGAATGCGAAATTCCATAAAATCTTGCGCTTACCCTTCTCTGGGAACGTTTGTAGTAATTGCCGGAGCAATTTTGTCTCCAAAGCTTGTATAACCATAAAATCCCAGCGCCGTCATAAAACAGGTGCAGATGATCATGGTCGTCGGCAGAACACCATTCGGTGCCAGGAATGCCTCTGGAGTTTCTAGCTTGTTCTCTACCGGAAGGATCTATAACAGAAAACAATAATAAGTGATCTCAAAGGAAGCGTAACAAAGAAGGAGAACGAGTATTGAGATGATACAATAAGTATAAATATGAGCATTGGTAAATTAAGAATTTGATGTTACCCTGACAGCAGAATTTTCGTTAAAAGAATAAGTAAGCTAAACAATAACAACACATACAACCAATACAAAAAGTCAAATAAGTCGAAAACACAAGCCAGTCAATGGGTCGATGGTCAATGGACCGTCAATGTTTACGTATCACAGTGTTCAATAAAGAGCATTTTTTAAAATCAAAACAAAGAAACCAAGTTTAGACGGAAACATTTCACAATGCATTCTTCTACTTTTATTCTCATCAAGATTTCGATTTTAGATAAACCTCACCATAGTTTGTCCTTCAAACGAGTACATACTCATACCGATCATCATAATAGTGCCCGTGAAATTCGTATACGCTGGAAGTTCCCGCCACTGATTTGGCTGTCTGAAACACATAGGGAAAGTTCGATGTTGGAAGAACAGCCATAGAGTTTAGAACAACGTAAGGAACCTTATCGAAACGTATTCGAACTTAGAAATCAAAGGCTAGCCGCATTAGTAAAAATAAAGCGATTTGAAGACCTCTAGCAGCCAGCCTTTCGATTTTGGACCCAACGCTCACCTGACAGTATATTGCATAATCACTGCTGCTCCAATAATGAAGAACACGGACGATACCAGCGCAAACGCCGAAACTACACGCATTTCTGTGAACATGTTCCGTTATCATGATGAACACTAGGGTGATCGACGCCATTATGATCATCTTCGTATGACGATCACCACCGACTTGGTCACCTAACAAATGCACCTGGAAAAATTCTTTGCCTTACAGCCTAATTATTGACTCAAATTCATAATTCCAGAATAATACGACAGCTTATTCCTCGATCAATCAGGCCACATTTCAATAATAGACCACACATGATGCAACAACGAGATAAGCAAACTATACCTATGTGGTCGATATGAGAGGATAGCACGCTGCACATTCCGAGTGAATAGAATAGAATAAGTTATATTAACACATGACCTAATTAAAGCTGGAATTCGTTACACAAAACAGCAGCAACAGACAAGCGCCAATTGGTATCAAACTTTAGATAGCACATCTAAGAAAAGTTTGCGCGAATCGGAAAACATGTGAAGTTTCTTATTCACAAGAAAGATGAGAACAGAAAATGGTGCTTTCGGGATGCTATTCGAAATCAAATATAGCGGAACTTGGAATTCCAACCACTATTAAAAAATTTTCATCAGAAAAATTCAAAGAAGGTGATAATGACTTACATTACCGCCTTGCTATTATTCCTGAGAAAACGTATGTCACTATAATCGCAAACTTTTTTCGCGAAGTGACCATAATCCAAAGCCGAACGTTCTGATCTGCAATATACCGCAAAAGTACTNTGTTCAAAGCCGATGAGCTTTCACGTTTAACTACACATGATTCGGAGGAATAATCAGGCTGCAACTCACTCTTGGCCAGCATGTGAATTGCTCGGCACTGAGAATATGATTTCCATACAGTGGCAAACCCAGCTATCAACGAACGGAGAATATCAACGAACACTCTGCAAAGACTCAGATTCACAAATTAGGCGTATTTTTGTGTCAGTATGATGAACAGTAAAACAATGCAAGATGTGGAAAGAATCCGTGAATCTTTTGAAATCAGAAGAGAATAACCGCTAGAAACTGCGACAACCCGACCGGTACTTATCTACTATTGTACTAGATTAATTTTACTTACTTACATTTACTTACCACTAATATACTTTATATACTTACTTATATTTTCAAAATGAAAGCTTCTTCCCTGATTACAGCGTAACGTTTACTATTCATAATGTTGCATGAGGGCACGCGAAACGCATCAGGAGGTTGATAGATGAGCATATACTTCATGGACAAAATGCACGTAGAGCAAATTATAGTGTCCGAGTTGCTGTTATATAATACGTGTCTATACCACTAGCCTGACACTCATTGAAAAGGATCAAAATACAAAACAATGATGGAAGGGATGCAGAGCTTCAAACGGTATCACTCATGTTTCGAATTTTGAATGAGAATCAATAATGCATTCCGACAACCATTCATACCAATGCATAATTTCGTACGAAAGTATAACGATAAAGATCCTAAGAAAAAACAATATCAACCTACCCAAAGACCTCCGAGCTTCCATGCGTATGGTAAGGAGAAGCATCCAGCGTTGAACATTGACTTTGACAGAGTCAGAACCGCTCTTGTTGGTCTGAACACATTGCATCGTTAAATTGAAGACTGCGAGAAAAAGGATGACTCGCTCAAGCAACACTTCTTTATGTGGAGAATTTATCCAAAAACTCCAAAAAAAACTTCGTCTACTAATTTCCCTATTCCGTTATGAAGTTCGACTGAGAGACAAGATAGCTTACAGTCACCTCAATCATGCTGGTGGATTTCGGAACAGTTTAGCTGTGGCAATCTCGCATCCGCGAACCGTACCAATTGAAAGGTATATCATGTACTATCGTTACACACATTTATCAAAAAGCTTATTCCGAAGTAGGGTTGTGAAAGACAGGACAGCAAGAAAGAATTTAACAAGCTGTAGAGGACGCTGAAAGCAGTAGCCTGTTTCGGCGGTGCAGGACTCTATAAGGAAGAAACACTGGGTGCGGAGACGAGAGAGCATAGGGAAGAGCAAAGCGCAGATAACAAGGCATTCGCGGTGGTGGGCGTCATTAGGTACAACCCAAGGCCCAAGTGGCGATAGCGGCACCACAATTTGTGGTTACGGGACCAGCGACCTTATTCATAGGCGGTACAGCTACAGGGAAATCAAAGACGGAGAAAAACCGTGGTTGATTTCCCTGTAACTGTACCGCGTACGAGTAAGGTTTCTGATTTCTTTAGTTTCTCAGCATCGACCCCAGTTCCCTTCTGGCTACGCATCAGTATCCGTAAGCGTTAACTGTTGTGAAAAGGAATAGCTTGGAGTTTCCAAATTTGCTAAATTCCAATCCTCAGCTTCTAATATCAGTTATTTTCGACAAAGGCGATTGTTGTATGCAATAAACCCACGAGATGACATCACCACTTCGCGTCACCGGGGGCACCAACGCACGGCCATCGTTGATGCTGTCGGCATCTGCATTGGCGATGGCAGCATTGCTATCACGACGATCTGTCGCCGACTCCTGTTCAGCATCATTCGGCATAGCCCGAAACGGAAATGAAATTTAAGATTTCATAGAAAAAATTGTTCAATAGGTGAAAAGAGGCATCGGATTTGGACCGTTTTTGGTAATCATACTTCAGATAACATAACAAATCGTTTATAGTTCCAGCGTGGGTATTAATAACAATAATAACGTCAAACTATTACTATGTACATTTCAACGATTAGACTTAATGTGAGCTATTTGCATATACAAGTTTTCCAGACACATATGTGGCCTTTACATCCACATTTTCGGATATCAGTACTAAGTCAGCATCTGCATTGACAGCAATCACACCTTTCCTCTCTTGAATGCCAAGAAGATTAGCTGAAAGTACCAGAAATCATGAGCATTGCTGAAATATTCAAAATGTGGGAATGCAGGGTGGACCGCCCACCTGGGCGAGCAAGACAAGGAGAACGTTTTTGCAATTCGGAAGAGAGTATTTGACAGGATAGACTTGCTTTTTTGAGCTGAGCGGACAAAGTGCTGTTTTTTCAGCTGGGTGAATTCAGAACTGGGCAAATTTGGTATTTCCATGTAACGCCCCCTACTCAGAGCCCTTCTAGAGTTTGAGGCAAGCTAGAAGTATGTCGAGGGTTGAACCTGATCCAACGACGCTCTCAATATCACAACTGTGGAAAGGAGGAGAATGGAGCGTCGTGGTGGTAGTTGAAGAGAGAGTTCTGCTAACATGTTGACCTGGACCTCGACAGTAACGGTTGACCCTGGGAAAACGTCAAATAAAAAAACAAAAAAATGTACCTGGTTTCTTCGTTGCGCATATGAGAGCTTCTTCCAATGGACATCGAGCTGCTTTGACAAAATGCTTTATACAATGTGGCATGGAAGCAACACTAAATCATATAAATACCGCCTCGAAGCTCAGAATCGATCGTTGAAGACGCACCTGCCGGCAGTGGTCTCCGTTCCTACTACTACCGCCTTCAAACCAACAACATCCACAACGATGTCACCAAACTTATGACGTCCTTCACCCATTCCCAACGCTGCTATCGCATCCGTAACAAGTATTAGTCCTTCAGGGTTAGGTTCTAAAAAAGAAAGCATTGGCTGTCGACAAAACCAATGCCGATAGGAATTAATGAGCCAAAGAGCACTAACACGCTATTCAAAGGAATCGATGGCGATCACGGCTCAAAATTCAAACATAACTGACCTATAAGCGATCCTCAAGGCAGAGTCATGAGTATGAATACCGTCCGAAATAATGCCATAGTATATCTTACGATCTCCCAACATTTTTGATGCAAGCAATCCGATAAGACATGGATCACGATGATGATACTAAATAGAGAGGGACAAAATACAAATACCTCACCATTTGACAGAAAAAAAGTTCCTCTTGAGATCGATATAAGTGAGGACATCACCGACCGAATGCATAGCATTGAAGAGATGAGTTATACATCGAGCACCACAGTTTACACCGTTTTCTGCATCTTTCAACTTTGCAGATGAGTGACCGAGCGAGACCACTATTCCCCGATCGGTGAGATATCTA